CGACCGAAGCTGCTCGGGAAACGCCGACCCGAGTAATTGGGAATTACCCCCAGGCAGCACCTCCGACTGACGATCGGGAGGCCACACCAGAGCCGGTCGAGGAAGACCCGACTGCCCCGCCCGCCCCGGCCGATGGCGAGTTCGTATTTTTGAACAGCGAGAGCGTCGAGCAGCAAGAGAGCCTGCTGACGTTGGGGGAAGCGGCGAGGATTTTCGTCATGCTCACCGGTCGGGTTCGCTTCGACACCCGACGACATCTGGGAAACATCATCGAGCGCCACCAAGGCAAATGGATCGGGATGCACTACGACTCACTCCAAGCACCGATCCAGTTCCCCTTCTCCGCTATCTTGACCGCGTTCTTGGGCTACTACCGAGTGGTCCCGGCCCAGATCTACTTGAACGCACATAGGATCTTGGCTTGCTTTCCCCAAATCTGTGCTCGGCACGAAGTCGCATGCACGATGGAGTTGTTCAACTTCATCTACCAGGTGAAGACCCTACCGGCCAAATACGGAGGCGGATTTCTGATGATCCAATCCCAGACGGACTTGTGCACGATCGAGCACTTGACCGGGAACAACAAGGGCTGGAAGAATAGGATCTTCTCGGTCGAGTACGACCCGTGGATCCTCCCGATCGAAAGGACGTGGAGCACCCATTATAGAAAGCAAGTTACGCCGGTCGAGACGAAGGCCCTCCAGGATGCCGTCTCCAAGATCTCGAGCGAGGTCCATGACTATAAGATCTTCCTCTCGAGAGAGAACTATGATGAGGCCCGACTACCACCGCCGCAGTATGATCTCGAAGAGAAGTATGTGCCCGAGCCAACGGGCATGACGATCGCGAGGACGGCTACTCGGGTTGAGCCGGCGAACGAAGGTCTAACACTAACTGATCGTCCCCAACCCTAACTCCCCGATCACACTCTGACCCCGGTCTAACACTTTGTTTTTTGTTTGCCAAAATGGTGCAAGGTTTTGAAGAAGAGGAAGCACCCCGAGCCAAAATCATGCTCGGGAAGAAGAAGACCAAAGCCAAGCCATCCGGGGAACAACAAATCCCGGTCGGCCGGCCGATAGGCGCATCTACAACCGTCACCACAGCCGAAGGCTATGTGGTCGATGCTTCTGACGTCCTGGTCTCCCGGGTGACTGCCCGTAAGGGCAAGGAGAAGGCATCCGAGCATGGGACCGAAGATAACGGCGCACTGAAGCGCCGGAGGAACCAGCGCAGCCCGAGCCCCCCGGTCGGGGCCATTACGGGCTATGCGTCTATCCTTACTCGGATCAGAAATCTCGGGCAGGTCAGGGAGGATATGACAAAGCAGACCCTGACCTAGGTGGCCGAGAGGATTGGCCAAGATCTGGTCGAGGTAAAAACTTTCGCCTTCATCTTTTATACAATTGTCTTTGATCGGGCTAATCCTGACCGCTTTTTTGCAGATATCCCGAGCAGCCCAACTCCTCCAGCGTCGAGCGCTGCTGGCCAATGAGGCCGACGCCTTGAAGAAATTCGCCGACCGGCGATTGGGGGAAATTACCGACCTTCAAGCTGAGCTGAAAAAAGCGAAGGAAGGTCGGGAGCTCGCGGAAAAAGCGGCTCGGGAGGTAAAGGGGGCCCAAGATCTGGCGGAGAAGGCCGCCAAGGAAGCCCTCGGGGAAGTGTCAGAGATCAAGGCCCGACTGGGCAACCTCGGCGATTTGGCGCAGTTTCTCTACCGGGACGCGGCATCAGGCACAAAGTTCCTCCGTGAGACCCGGAAGACCAAGGTCGGGGAGGAGCTGATATGGGCGTTCGGGCGTTGGGCGTTCAAATCCGGCCAGCGGAAGATGCGTGCTAAGACCCAAACAATCATGGAGGAAGTCCTCGAAGGTGAGGACCTTCAGCTGGTCTTGACGACCCTCCCTGATGAGGTTGCCGACCCCGGCCCGCCGCCGTTCGGCCCCGAGGAGGATGTAGCTGAGACGAGCGATGCTGCGAAGAAGTGGTCTAGGTCGTGTAGATTTCAACCGTGTATTTTACTTCTTCGTTCTATTTTTGTTTGTAAACTTCATTGGGAGCCCGGTCCCGATTTATACCGGGCGCCTTTTGATTTATAAAATTAAGTCTTGTCCGGTTTACTTTTTATGCGTGTACTTTTGTTTGTTTGTATGCCGGTCGTCCTTTACCCTACCATTCGGCCTAATGGCCTGGTCGTGCGTGTCCCGACCCAATGGCCTTTTGGCCTTTCGAAAACTCGAAAAAACTTTTTTGGCTTGTCCGTTCGGGGTTTTCCCCGATCGATGGCGTAAAGAAGTTGGACGGATCGGGGAGATTTTGATATAGCTCTAGTTTCCCGGATCGGTGGCGTGACCTGAGCGTCCGCCGAAGATGAGCGCAATAGCCAGTCGTTGGATTTCGACCGGCCAAGAGGTAGGTGGCTATTAGAGCCAATTAGGTAGATGGCTATCAGAGTCAATTAGCTGTTCACCCCTATCGGTCGGGACCGAGGGGTCGTGGGTTTGATCCCCACAGACGGCGCCAAAATGATAGTGTTAATTTCACGTGGTGCGGTCAAAGTAATAATACGACCAAGTTAAAGCAAGTAAATCTTTTATTGATCGTGTCAAAGGATCTAATACAATCTAAGTGGCTATTTCGAGGGCCGACTGACTGCGGTCGTGATGCTCTGTAAATAGCCTATCGAGCGTTCCAAAAGTCCCTCACACTGTTGCCGCCGTGGGTATTTATAGCCGCTAGGCCGGAGACACAGCTCCGGCCGGCCGGCATGTAACCCACGTAGCAACCACGTGTCTTCACCCCGCGAGCCCTGCCTGTCAGCGCATAACGCTGCCACGTGCCTCTTCTCGGCTCTCTCGTCTAAGGGCTATTGATCGGGAGTTGAAAACGTCAGTTGGGTGATGCATCGGTCGGGTACGACCGGGTTCTTCTAAGAATATCCGACCTGTAACCTGCATAAACAAGAATAAAATACGTGACATGTCGGTCGGGGTATTCCCTATATATATATATATATATATATATATATATATATATATATATATATATTTGTAATTATATAATTTTTTTTATTAAGTTATTTTTTTTTATTAAGTTATGTTAGCATATAAAATAATTTTGTTTCTCAAGTTCAAGATTTTAGTTAATATTTTAAAATCATGTAATTATATATGATACCGTTATCTTATTTATTTATTTTAATTTTTAAATTTATTAAAATATATAAAAATATGTTAACGATATTATAGTGTGTCATTGTGTGTATATAAAAGATAACCATAAACCAAACATGATTATATTACATACCCCCATTTTAACCAAACATATTAATTTAACATTCCTTGCAATCTAACATTCCCTAAGGTAATCTAACATTCCGTAAACCAAACAGCCCCCACAGTAATCTAACATTCATTAAGGTAATCTGACATTCCAAGAACCAAACGACCCTTAGCCCTATCCCAGAGTGCCAACCTCATCATATCAATCATCATAGTCAATCGACCAATCAACGTTCTCTTTCTAGAGAGATAATGTTAATGTAGTTGTATCACTCTCAGAAGGTTCGAGTGTTGCTGGACTCAAATCGCCGATGATATCTCTAATGTCGTTTGTTGTTGTCAATTCACTTTCATGATTTTTGTTGTCCCAATTTTGTTTCCTTTTGATTCGACAAAGAACTATATCCTTTAATGGTACCTGAATCCGACAAGGTTGTAAAACTCGGCCGCCTAGACGCTAGGCGGCACCCATCCTTGCCTATTTGGCCTATAGTCGGCCAAAACTCGGCCGGCCGCCTAGGCGGCGGCTTGGGCGGCCAACTCGGTCAAAATCGACCGAGTCGGTCAACTCGGCTGAGTCGGCCGATTTCGTCCGATTTCGACTAATTTCGTTCGATTTTGACTAATTTTGTCTTTCATTAATTATTGATTTTAATATTATTATGATGTTACGACTTATAAATTATCATTATTTCATTTATTTGGACGTGTTATTTGATTGAATGTTGAAAACAGGCTCATTAAAATTGTCAAACTACAAGTCTGTCACTATTTTTTAAAATTTTTTTGGTGCTCGCCTAGCGCCGGCTAGATTCCGCCTAAACGCCGCCTAGACCGCCTAGGCGCTAGGCGCTGCCCGGCCGCCCGACTAGCGTCTAGCGCCTACTGCAACCTTGGAATCGGAATTATAATCTAACCATAATCAGAAAAAAATGTTCATTCCACAAAACGCAACAGTAAAATGAAGACTGTTGAGATTCTTCTGATACTCAATCTCTCGACATAATGCGAAAGAGTTTTTTGCATTTTTGGTCCCACGACTATGGTATCACTAACAATTTTTATCTATGATTTTTAAAACTTGTAGAATTGGTCCACAACTATGACTTTCTTAGTAAATTATGTTCTTCCGGTGCATTTTCCGTTCAATTTTTGCTGGAAATTTTTACTCCCCGTTCTAACATGGGTAATATTGTCTTTTCCATCTCACAAATAAATAAATAATTAATTAATTAATTAAACATAACCAATAGTACGGTGATTGAAATTAAAAGTCACCCAATTCCAAATCCACTTTCAGTTTCACCCTTCTTGCTAAACGCTAAATTTTTTTTAGCTATTTATTTATTTATTTGTTTATGTCATTAGTTTGTGAGATGGAAAAGACAATATTACCCATGTTAAAGTGAAGAGTAAAATTTTCCGGCAAAAATTAAACAGAAAATGCACCGGAAGGACCAAATTTGCTAAGAAAGTCATAGTCGTGGACCAATTCTCCACGTTTTAAAAGTCGTGGATCAAAGTTGTTAATGACACTATAGTCGTGGGATCAAAATTGCAAAAAGCTCTAATGCGAAACAATTACAGCAAACTGTGATTTTTGAACTGGTTTTCCCCAGGCATGCCAAAATTTAGGAATTATATATGTATCAATTTACATCAAAAATTAATTAAAGTTGGTAATATAGATAGAGTATAAAATAAAATAATTCCCTAACACTCGACACGTCGAGAGTTGGTAGAATTCTCCATTATATTTTTCATTATGTAATGGCTCGGCAAGTCGGGTCCTTCCAAATCTGTAATTTTTGCTGCGAAAAATTGTCTTTTTTTTTATCCCTTTTTTTGTCCAACTATAAATACTACCATTCCTCTTCAAATCCTAACATTTAGATATGAGCATGGTTTAATTCGAATTGAACCGTGTATTATTAGAACCGAATCAGAACCAACCGTACGGTTTCAATTCCGATTAGAAACCAAAACCCAAAAGGTTCCAGTTCTGGTTTAAGGAATTCTAGAACCAGAACTGTCGGTTCTGGTTCGAACTGGACGGTTCCAGTTCCTCAACCGAAAAAGAAAAAAGAAAAAAAAATTTCCAAGTGACCTGTGGCTTGGCCATATATAATATTTGTTGGGTAATATGGTTGAAAAATTCCAAAATAATAATTCTACAGAAAAATTATTATCGTATGGGAAAACAGAAAAACTAGGAAGGAAAAGAGGTGGAAAAACTGGGTAAAGGTTAGCACGAGTTCGAACACAAAGTTCTTTTCCTTAAAACCTTATTTGCTACCTCCCACAAGTGCTAAGTTTCCCAGGATAAAACGTGCTACGATTCTTTGTTTAAGCACCTAAACAAAGAACCCGGCAAACAAAGCAAAGCTGGAACACAGATTGGCTAAAGAAGAGAGTAGAAGCAGAGTTTTGAGAGGATAAAGCTACTAGAATTCCTTTGTTTCTCTACTCTGTAAAATGCTACTGCTCTAGCTCTCTTTATATAGGGATGTTGGAGTGATAGCATTCAACATGACCATTAAATTGGTCTCTTTATATAGGGATGTTGGAGTGATAGCATTCAACATGACCATTAAATTGGTATTAAAACCAATTGTGTAACACCTGTAACAGCGACCCACTAAGTAGAATTAAACTCAGTTTTAAAATTGGAATTAAAACAGTGTTAATTCCAGTAACAAATGAGTTTAACCATTGGGGTACAAAGCGTGAGAGAGCCTCTATGTTATACAATTCTACAAGCTTCAAAAGAGCTCTTGTATATAAGGGGGGCAAATCTTCTTTCCAAACCAATGTGGGACAAAGTTCACTATTTCCCTTCATTTCCCAACTCAAATGGGTCTACTTTGAGAATCAATATCTCATTCACCCGTTATCCGTTTTGAGCGTACAATATATCAATCTCTTCGTCTCATTACGAAGAACCCGAATACACTTTGACCCAACCCAAATCGAAAGTGGACCCCACTGATAATTGTATCACAAAATAGCCACTTAATATGCCATTTTAAGCTATTTTTTCCAACAATATTATATATTTATATATTATATATATAATAAATAACATATATATTGGCTATGTTTGGCAAACCTAGCTGAAAAGTAGTTGAAAACTGGAAAGCTATAAGCTAGAAGCTGAAAATTGAAAAGTTATAAGCTAGAAACTGAAAACTGAAAAGCTATAAATTAGAAACTGTTAGGACTGATAAGTTGATAAATGTAAAAAGGCTAAAAAAACATCTTAATAAAATTTAAATAGTTTTAAATTTTAAATAGGATTGTTTACATATTAAAATTTAACATTTTGAAGTGTAAAAATTTATAAAATCTTATAAAACATTATAGAACTCATATGATTGTATAGAATTTTAGGGTAGATTTCAAAGATATAATCATAGGCATACAATCAAGTAGATCTCCACTGTTGGTTGGGAGGTGGAATAAGTATAAATAACTTCATGAGCTCATTTTGTAACAATCAAAGTTAAAAGCTTATAATTGAAAAATAAAATGTTTTTTTTTTCAAAATTAAATAGAGAAGAGAAAGAGCTTTAAATTGGAAGGGATAAAGGATAATCATTTATTTAAAATAATAAGGATAAAATGAAAATATATAGAATTTTAAATTACTAGCTTATTTTAGAAGGTTTATCAAACAGAACTTATAGCTTATTAATAATTTAAAATAAGTTCTATCAAACATAGTTTATAGTTTATATTATTTCTACCAAACTTATGTTTTCAATTGCACTAGCTTAGTATAATAATCTATATATATATATATATATATATATATATATATATATATATATATATAAATCCTCCTAACAAATTTTCCCTCCAAAATTTTTGTAGTAAAGCTTATTTGGTAAGTAATATCAAATGGAAATTAAATAAAATCTAATAATTGCTAATATTACATAATTGGTAATATTATGTATGGTATTATATTCTATAATATAATTGATAATATTATTGTTCAAGTATAATAAAAATATTATAAAATAATGTAATAATAATAAAATAAAATTAAAATAATAACAATAATAATCTATACTATATATAAAAACAAATCCTGAAATTTTAACTTCCCGCCCAATTCCTACAAATTCTCTCTTCCCAATAAAATATATTGATTTCTACTTTCCCATTCGTACAATAATTCTGGGTAAAATTCTATTCTAAAATTATAAAATAGTGTAATACACTTCTCTTTGCACATCTAATCTATACTTCTATACTATATATAAAAACAAAATCCTGAAATTTTAACTTCCCGCTCAATTCCTAAAAAATCTCTCTTCCCAATAAAATATATTGATTTCTACTTTCCCATTCGTACAATAATTCTGGGTAAAAATTCTATTCTAAAATTATAAAATAGTGTAATACAATTCTCGTTGCACATCTAATCTATACTATATATAAAAACAAAATCCTGAAATTTTAACTTCCGCCCAATTCCTAAAAAATCTCTCTTCCCAATAAAATATATTGATTTCTACTTTCCCATTCGTACAATAATTCTGGATAAAAATTCTATTCTAAAATTATAAAATAGTGTAATACAATTCTCTTTGCACATCTAATCTATCTAATCTATACTATATATAAAAACAAAATCCTGAAATTTTAACTTCCCGCCCAATTCCTAAAAAATCTCTCTTCCCAATAAAATATATTGATTTCAACTTTCCCATTCGTACAATAATTCTGGGTAAAAATTCTATTCTAAAATTATAAAATAGTGTAATACAACTCTCTTTGCACATCTAATCTATCTAATCTATACTATATATAAAAACAAAATCCTGAAATTTTAACTTCCCGCCTAATTCCTAAAAAATCTCTTTTCCCAATAAAATATATTGATTTCTACTTTCCCATTCGTACAATAATTCTGGGTAAAAGCTGTGAAGTGTCAAAAGTTCGGTAATGCATAACTTTTGACTCAGTTGTCCGTTTTGGACAAATGTTTTTTTGAAATTGTGTATTTTTTCGAGATATATCCACCGCAAATTGCCGTAGGCGATTTGGCCCACCAATTTCTAAAAAAAATGCTTTATTAAATAGTTTCTAAGAAAAAACTATGAGAACCTTATGTTTTATTAATAAATTTTTAAATTTTTTAATTAAAAATTTGTACCGTGCATTTTTTAATAATCTCTCTTTATAATTGGTCAAATTATTTAATTATGGTAAATTAGGGATAATTAATGATGGTAATAGAAATCCTATAAGCGACCTCTGGTGAAATTAACTCTTAAATAATTATATATCGATTTAAATATTCTTAGTATATTACAACAATTTCATTTCGTGCATCGCACGGGTGAAAATACTAGTATAATATAATAACAACAACAACAACAACAACAACAACAACAACAACAACAACAATAATAATAATAATAATAATAATAATAATAATAATCCAAACAAAACTATATATATACAAAATAAAATTTAAAAAAACACAAAGATGGCTCCCGTTAGTAAATGATGTGAGATCATTTTGATCCCACATTAAAAATGTTTGAAAAGATGAGCTCAAGAGTTCCTCTATATATTGCTCCTCTTACAAACATACAATTGCTTGCCCATCAATGTGGGCAAGTATTGAGAAGTCCAAAGGGTTTTTTTTAGTACTATTGACCCGACAAATTATGCTGTGGAACTGTGTCCACCTTGCAAGGTAGATACGGTTCAAAAATTATTCATAATTATGAATATAATCAACATAATTATGAACACAGTTATTTAATTATGAATATAGAGATTCAATAATTGTGAATATGAAGTTCAAAAATTATGAATATATATTTTTATAATTATGAACATATAATTCAATAACTATGAACATAGAGTTCTGTAATTATGAATATAGAGTTCAATAATTATGAATATGAAGTTCAAAGATTATGAATATATAGCTTTATAATAATGAACATATAGTTCAATATTTATGAACATAAAACTGTGTCCACCTTGCAAGGTGGACACGGTTCCAGAGCATAACTATTTGATTGACCCTATTACATATAATATCTGTTCATATAAACTTTCTCAATCTATTGAAACCCAACATGTCAAAAAACTCTTATTTAAGAAAACTTATCGTATTAATGGCTTCTTATTTTGGTTTTTTTTTTTAATTTTTTTTTAAATTTATTAGGGTGTTTGGAAAAAATTAACCAAAAATGTATATAAGTTGTTTTAGTTTTTAGTAGTTTCGAGCAAATTGTTAAGTTATTAAATAATATTTTTGGTATTTTGATAAAATATAAAATGTTAAACAGACGAATTTCTTAAAATATAACAACAACAACAACAACAACAACAACAAAATAAAATTAAAATTAAAATTAAATTAAAATTAAAAAAAAAAAAAAAGACAAAGGAGAGTCACGGGTTCCCTTTGTAAATGATGTGGGATCATTTTTATCCCACATTGAAAATGTTTGAAAAGAAAGCGCTCCTATATATAAGAGGAGCAATGATCCTCTTACAAACATAATTGCTTGCCCATCAATGTGGGCAAGTATTGAGATGTCAAAAGTCTTTTATTTAATAAGCCTTAACTTAGTCTTCTTATTTTAGTTTGTATTTATTTATTTATTATTAATGGGGGTTGTGAAAGATTAACACAAAATTATGTGTTGTATTAGTTTTTAGCCGTTTGGAGCAAATTACTGAGTTACTATATATTTTTTGGGGGGTTTTCGTTCGTACGACTCCAATGTTTATCCTTGCCCAGGATATTTCTCCATTGAAGACTTTCAGAGCTATTAGATGGTGATTGGTGTGCACCCATATGAAGTCCCATAGAGAAAGGGGAGTGATTTCATAAAATCTAGAGAGTGCATATTTCACGATCAAATAGTATTTTTTTTCGCTTTTGTTTTTTTCTAGAATTCGTGTTGTATATGAAATTGGGAAAAAGATTCATTACAAAGCTGCTTCCTATACTGCAAAAATAAATTGTAAAATAACACTTTTCTTTTTTACTCCATTGTAGGGAACTTCATGTTCATATACCAAGGGAGCATGTTGGTAAGTGCTGTAAGCTTTTCAAAGAATGAAAAGTTTATGCCATTAAAAATTTGATGGTGATATATTTACAAAAAATGCACTCATTATTTTATGTTGTAATTCAACTATGCTACTTTGGTTAAAGAATAAAAAAAAAATGACAGCTTTCCTAGACAAATTTATTTATTAAAATCATTTTCATCTTTGAAGTTTGTAGATGATAAACAGTTTGTTGGTAAGTTTCATTTGCAATTTTAATCTACATCTGGATTCTTCTTTTTTTTTTTTTTTTTTTATTATTAACATGTTTGAAGTTACGTTATTGGTAGGGTCGTTGAGATATAATCCCCATTGGATAAGATCTTTGTAGGAAGCCTTCTTAACTTATTGATTTCTAATTGTACGTGGATACAAAGTAAATTATCTAATTTTGTTATTTTTATTATATTTTGTATATGTATTTTTTATTAAGTAGTTTATTTGTTTATAGTGACATTCAATTGAAGGCAACAGTGTGAGATCAACATATACCAAGAGTTGAAACTTTTTTTATTATTATTATTCTGGCCTTGCAAATCTTATAGTTGTTCTTATGCAATTGTGTAGAGTTAAGAATGATACGAAGAGTAAATCTAAACATAAGTGTATTAATTTTTCTTTATATTTGAAAGTATTTGAATAAGGACAAGTAATGAATGTTCTTTTTTATTAGCCAGTTATGTCAAGATATGTAACTCTTGATACACAGCTCATTTTCAATCACGATTTTCAGAGTTTTGTGATTTTTTAGAAAGGTAAATTTATTATGTCTTAATCATTATCACAATGTTTTTATCATTTATTTTTGTACATATTTTGTTTATGATTGTCATTTTTTTTTTTCAGTTTATGTGTTGATTAGACCACTCTAAGAAACATTATTGATATTTATGAGATGATTGGGGTAAACAGTAACAATAAAACATTTTTTTTAAAAAAAATTGATGCAGTGGCATCAAATTTTCTAATCATCTTTTGCCACTTTTTAAAATGATTTATTAGTATTAAATTGTCACACTTTAAAATGTATTTTT